AAAAAAAAAGCCTGCAAAAGGGGGAAGGCTCAGGAGCCGCGGAGCCTTTGCCTCCCAAGAAAGCCATCCGCATCCGGGCCCTGCCTTCTGAAACGGTCTTTGTTTTCTAGGATTCTGAAAAGTACGTGGTCGTGGTAGTCATCGTAGCTCACGTCGGCTGAGCGGCTTCCTTGGTGGGGCAGACACATGCCCTTCCCGGCCCCTGCCTCACAGAGGCCTCTCGCCAGCAGCACGAGGAAGGGCCCTGTCGTTTCCTCCTTTTACAGCTGAGGAAACTGAGGCTCAGGTTCAGAGACTTGCCCAAGCACCGAGACGCTAGGAACAGTGCCAGTGTTTAATAAGCCCAAGCCGGGCGACTCCAGAACAGTGACTAGGGTGGCCTTTGGGGGGCCCATGGTTGAGAATGTTTGTTACGACGATTTCGCAGCTCTGTCTCTACACACGTGACGCATCTCTGGTTACAAATAGAAGCGAATCCTCCCCTTTCTTCCCCTTATAGTTCTCAACCATCCCACTCTGAAGTGGAGGTGACCACGGTGGGGGAGGGGTAAGCCAGCGTGCCTCAGAGCAGTGTCAGAGCTGGGGTGCTCCCTCCCCTGCTGGGCCCTGACACCCCGCACCAGGCCTCCCCTCTCTCGGGAGCATCCCAGGGGAGTGGAGGCCCTGCCTGGAGTGTTGGAGCCCAGCAGGAACGGAAGGGGGTGGTGGCAGAGGGCAGAGATTGGTTACGCCTGGGGACACCCATCAAATAAATAAATCTGTTAGAGACAACAGGAGCCAGGCTTCCCACTGTCAGAGAGGGAAGGCACAGATGCGGAGAGACGACTCTAGAATGAATCCTGTGGTGCAGGATTGAAACGGGAGCTATCGGTGCATAACTTCCGCGCAGAGAGATGACAGGGCTGGAGGTGTGTGCTTCTGTTCCCAGCGGTCACGGGGAGAGCCTTGGCGCAGCAAGCCCTCCCCAGCCTCCAGCCCACCTTGCATCCAGCGCCGGCGTCTAAACACGGCTTCCGTCCATGGGAAGCGGAGCACCTCGGAGAAACGGCTGATGCCAGGGCTGGGGCGGGGAAGGTAAAACATAAGCCTGGAACAGGTTGTTTTGCCAGAAAGCAAGGTAGTGCTTGAGGAAGGCACGCGGGCAGCTCGAAGGAGCGTCCAGGGGCCAGGGACGTTTTGATCATCGAAATGTGATGGTAACAGTACAACAGGACACTGTGAGTACACACAGGTATTCATAAATAAGAGGATAAGTGAATGCATGGCTAGTCTCATGAGGAACAGGGTATTTTCATACTCTCAAATTACATACCCACAAAATACTTACTCATCACAAGGAGAAAGAGTAACCCCACGGTGGAGAAACCTGGCAGACGCCACCTTAATCAAGTGACCAAAGTAAGCCTCATCGATAAGGGGACAAATGTCAAGCCTGCAGCACCTGCGCACTTGATGGGCGGCCGTGAGAAGAATGTAGCGTCACTTCCGTGAAGCATCCCACGAACCCAAAACGACGGCCAGTGACCTTCACGACTGCCCAGGTCCTATGCGAGGAACTGCTTCGGGCCGAAGCGCACTGAGGACACGGGACACGTGCAGCGTGTGATTCTGGACTGGACCCTCTGCTCTCAACGATGTCGTTGGAACGGCTGGAGGAACTCGGTGGGTCTTTATACCATAGTCGCGGATGTTCTGTGAGCTTGAGACGGTTCCCCAAACGTACCGTGCTGTGCAATTTGGGCTTTTCTTCTGGGGACCTTGCCCTGCCCCACCTGACCAGGGAGGGACCTGTGTGCAGCCCAGTGGGGCTGGCCCGGGCCACTGCAGTCACCCAGCGTGGGGGTGGGAGCCCTTGCCCTGGGCCCCATCTCTCATGGTCTCCGAGCGGGAGAGGGTTTTCCATGGGCAGCGGGGTCCTCGGTGAGACGTTTCGGGGCGGAGGATTATACAGCCCAGCAGGGAGCCCCTTGCTTCCGGGAACTCCGAGTGAGTTGTGCGAGGCAAAACCGTTGTCCTTTTTTTCTCGTTTTAACTCCCCCGCTTTCCTGGTCGTGCTCACCCTGGCTCTCGGGCAGCAGGGAAATGGAAGGATTTATTTCCCAAATGTGGGGCAGCCAGAGACCGTGCGTTTTCCAAGATGGGCCTGGCTGCTGGGCACCTGCCCTCGGTACGCTGGGGAGCAGGGCCCGGAAAAGCTCTGCCATGGTGATTCGGAAAACCAGGCCCCCTGTGCCGTGTCTCGTCACACGGGAGCCACATGGGAGCCACACGGGAGCCACACGGGAGCCACGTCAGGACACGTCGGAAACTGTGAGCACCCCATCTGTCTCTCATGCACTCCACACTGGGCCTCAGCCTGTGCGAGGCCCTGGGGGTTCGACGTGAGGGACCCACTGTGCCACCAGGACCACAGCAGGATGTCACAGGGCAGCAGGACAGGGTGGGGAAGGAAGGACCGCCCGGAGCTGAGGCAGGGACACAGAGGGCTGGCCAGGTGAGGGGAGGAAGGAACGTGGACAGTGCTCCCAGCCATAAGGGGCTCAGCACGTTCTAGGCCCTGAGCACAGATGGGGTGCGGGTGGGGAAGAAATAAAGCTGGAGATATAGATGGGGCGGATCGCGAGGGGCTAGTCAAGCCTTGTTCAAAGACTGGACACAGCCTGGAGGCGTGGAGGCCAACGGAGAACGAGGCACTGGAGGGCGGTGATCTCCACACTTTGGGGAGAGCATTTCGGCTGCTGAATGGGTGTTGATTGGGGGGCCCAGATCGGTAACAGAGAGACATTAAGCATCTGTCCAACATTAG